AATGGTGGCTGTCATAAAAACTTGATGGATTTATTCAAACATAAATTAAACAGTAAATAACAGTAAAATTTATAATGAAGATGTTATATGGTGCATATATTTAGCAAAATGCTCCTTTCTACAGTTTATTTTTCTATCTGACTAATGAGTTTATGGTCACCGAATATGTTTTTCTGAGGTAAATGTGACGTTACGTGACATTGTTTACAAGCCATTATATTGACGTCTTTGCGCGACTGAAACACAGATTGAGCGATTACATGAGACAGGATACGGATTGTAAAGCTGTACTCATTCTTTTAACTTACCTTCGGATGTTTAGTCATGTTTATTTTGTGCTGAAGCTGGTATTAATGTGGAGGAGATGATCAGTTCACTGAGGCGCTACAGCGATCTGTCACTCCACATTAAACAGCGCCAAAATGGCATTTATTGTTTGAATACTGCAATACAATGGACAGAATTTGAAATCTGAGACTTTTATATTAAAAGCACCAAAGCACAATGCTTATTGAGATTTATTGGATGGGAAGTGTGCTTCAACGTTCTGTCCATTAACTGAAAACAGGCTAGACTAATCGATTCTTGGGATTTAAGAATCAATATCGTTTCGTAAAAATGAGAATCTATTAATATCGAGATATCAATATTTTTACCCAGCCCTACAAACTACTATTAAATGGTCAGCGCAGTAACCAGAAGTGAGGGTTGTTTGCATAATGAAACGCTTTGAGCTTTTTAAACAGCTGTTGTTCAGCAAATGACCCTCTGAATCGTACTTTCAGTCTGTTATAGTAGAGCCGACACCTCGCTTCCTTAAGCTTGACTCCACACTTACATTTGCCTCTAAAACACGTGTAACTTTTATGCTGCTTTTTGCGTTGCAACCTTTTGAAAACTTGATATCCATTAGCCGTATGAAATATTAAATCCACTCGGATCTGGCAGCCTGAAGCTCCCGTGGTGGATGTGGCGTGTTCTCCTGCTTGAATGTGCCAACAGAGCTCAATCATCTGTATTCAGGATGACATGGATTACTTGGTCCAGAAACATTCACAATATACTTACTTACCTTAGAGTTAAAGCCTGTAAACAACAAGGACAGTAACAATAATGATAATTATAACGTTTTAATAATCATTCTAATATAATAATAACTGTAACGTAATAATAATCGTTCAATTACCTCATGAACAGTTAAATGCTCTTCCCTACTGTTCAATAAAAAGATGTGCAATACCACTTTTGTTTACTTAATACTACTTATTCCATTCCTTGTAAATTCTATTCTATTTCATCTATATACCACAACTGTACACACACACATATAGATATACACTACCGGTCAAAAGTTGGGGATCGGTAAGACTTGTAATGTTTTTTAAAGAAGTCTCTTCTGCTCATCAAGGCTGCATTTATTTGATTAAAAATACGGGAAAAAAAACAGTAATCTTGCAAAATGTTATTACAATATAAAATAATGGTTTCTATTTTAATG